ATCAATCACCTGTTAATTGATAAGATATTAAAAAAACTTTGAAAACATATTAAAAAATATTATAATTTTGTAATTACTAAGATTTAAGGAAATAATTATATCTTCTCCAACCGTTATATATGAATCTTAAATATTGATTAACTTGAGCTCAACTTGAAATTTTTCGTAATTCAAATAATAAACAATTATTACTAAATGTATAATCACTGTTGTCCCTTCAAAATGATTTTTACAAAATTAATTAATATCTATTCAAAAATAATATCCCTTAAGTCTTTAAAAACTCATTAAATGGTTATATTTTACAATTAAATTCAGAAATTGCACCTAAATTGTAGAATTAAAAAGGAAATATTTATTGGTATTTGTTAAACACAATGAACAATCTTAATAAAATTTATCTATTATATAACAACCTCCTAAAATAAATTGGACAATAAATTATTTAAATATATAAAAAAGCATTCATATTAGCCACACTTAAATGCATGGGTATTCTTAAATTTCCAAAATAAGTATTTTACTAATAAAAATTTTTCAATAACATTTTGAAAATTTAAAGTTTATAAAATCAATTTAATAAAAAATAATAGTATTACTGTTAATTAAATATGAGTTGAGAATATATTATTTTGTGAATATTAGAATATATTGACTCTCGAGAACTACGAAGATTAGAAAACTTAGAAATGATAAATGCTGAAAAATTTAGTTGTAGAATCTACTTTATAAATCTTATACAATTCAAATTCTAAATATAAATTGAGAGAAAATGCTTGGTTATGATAAGAATAATACCAAAAAAATAGTATACAAAGAATTAAGATATTATTGCATTCGTGCAACTAATAATTATTATTGTAATTTTTAAATGTGCTAAATTAATTTCCATTTTAGTAATGCTTCAAGATTGTTAAAAAAGAAAAAAACCATGATATTAGATGTATCTAAATTTTACATAATATTCTTTTACTGCAAAGAATATTAAAAAAAAGGATATCTTGTATTTTTAATCTAAATTTCTTTAAATCTATAATCTGAACAATACTTGTTTTTGACATCCCATAGACGGATAGACTCATCATAACTACCAGAAGCTATTGTATTTCCATCAGGAGAGAAACAGACTGAGTTAATACAATTACTATGACCATCTAATTTGGCTTTTTATTATCCTGTTTTGACATCCCATAGACGGATAGACTTATCATCACTACCAGAAGCTAATGTATTTCCATCAGGAGAGAAACAGACTGA